CTATGATGGAGATTGTGGCCAACAATCATTAGTATATGAGGCGAATCCTGCTCATATGACTGATAAAATATAGATACCCATTAATCTCATATATTATATATATATATATATATATATATATATATATATATATATATAATATTATATATATATATATATATATAGAGAGGAGACGAGGAGAGAGGACGAGAGAGATCTGAGATTTGAGAGGAGCGAGCGAGAGAGAGAAGAAAGAGAGTTAAATGGGTTCCTTGTCATAGGCAGAGGATTTCCTCCTTGACGTCTTTAAAATCACATGATGAGCGACATTGTAGATGGTCCGTTGAACTTGATCTACATATTCTAAAACCCCAACACATCAAGTTTGGAGTGAATGCGTCGTTGTTTGACCATTCATCCACTCATATCAATTTTAACGGTTTTGAATGAATAGGATCTCAATCTAGCCACTGCTGTGATTTTCCGCCCCATCTAACCCTCGGATTTGCACTTGAGCGTAGACCAGAGATTGACATTGGGGGGTGGGGGTGGGGTGGTGTCTATGAGAACTTTATGAGAATATTAATTTGAAGAAAAAAAAATGTGTGAAAGCTGAGTACCATTGTGGTTGTCGCTCTCAGAAATAATAAGTTCACCATCTTCCTGTTGCAGCTCTGACCAAGAGCTGTTGCGTACGTTATTCGTTGTATGCATATTTGCCTACCAATCACGGATACGGATACGAGTATAAATATAGTTTGATAAATAAAACCTATATTAATTCATTTACGTCATGAAAACCGGAGAAGGATATTGATCGGATATATGGAAGCAAAATAAATGTTAATACATGCCACGTATTGATACAGGAGATCAAGGAGCATACGGCGCAGACGAGGTGAAGGAACAGGCGGACGAGACCAAGCGGCCGAGACGAGATGAAGGAACAGACGAGACGACACTCGGCGACTCGAACCAGACGAGACAAGGCAAACAGACGACTCGAGGTGACGAGTCGAGATGACGACTCGAGGCGAAGCAACCCAGCCGAGACCCCGAGACTCCGAGGCCCCAGTCGACAGGACGAGATCCCAGCCGAGACCCCAGTCGACAGGACGAGACGACATGCCCCAGTCGACACGAAGGGCGGTGTTAGTCAACACCTGCCAGTCGACACGTCTCAATCGACACGAATGGAGCCAGTCGACACATGTTAGTCGGCTCATGTTCAGTCGACACGAAAGGCGTTGCTACTCGTCACGCCTTGTGTCGACTCGGATTTTAGATTAGGAAAGAGTTCTTTTTTGATTGTTTCCTTTAGGGATTTGGTCTTTTCCTTTTAGACTTAGAGTTTCTTTTTTATTAGAGTTATGATAGATTTAGTTGGCTATAAATATTAGTTCCTTTTGTAAATTGTAAATCAACTTTTCAATTAAGAGAATTTTTCTCCTTGTTTTCGTTCTCAACTTTAAAAAACTAAGAGCTTGTGGATTCAAGCTCGTGAACTACCTGCTGTTGTCAGGGCTCGTCGGCATCGGAACGATATCTGATCGGTCTCCCTGTTTCTACGTCTGCGTCACGTATGCAAGGAGCAGATAGCTCGAGTGGAAATAAACTGTGTGATGCAAAAAAAAAAAACCATCTCAACAAAGTAAAATTGCTCAAATTAATAAATTAAAGCTCGTAGAATTAGACCATTGGATCGTCAAAATCGGCTTCAGATATACTGATATAAGACCACAGTGGTTTCTCACACGAACGAGATATCTCCATACCTTTTTATTAATGCTTTGTTTGGGAGTTTACTAGGGGAAGGAACGTAAAATTAAATAACAGAAAGGAAAGATAGGGAATGTAAGTGAAAAGATAAAATGTTGTTTGAGAGTTTAGTTAGGGGAACAAAAGTAAATTTGTTTTACCCTGTTTGGAAGTTTTAATAAATGGGAGGGAAGTAAAGTGAATGTATAAAGTTACATAAATACCTTTACATATTAGATGTGAGTATATATTAACCATTGATTTTAATGTCATATATGTATAATTGTCTTATTACATTGTAAAATTTTATATTGATTTCCATTCCATCATCTACCCCCCAAATTGGAGGGGAGGAAAATGGAAGGAAATTTAACCTTCCATTCCATCCCCCCCCACCCCACCCCACCCCACCCCACCCCACCCCACCACCCACACAAAAAAAGGAAACTTTTCTAGTAGTGAAAACCTATTTCCACACCTTTCCTTGTGTTTCTAAATAGCAATTTTGTTTGTTTGTTTCGACATGGGAACATGGGGAGGAAACATTTTCAATCTCATTCCTTTGTTTGGTTCAAAAGCAAAAAAACAAGAACTAGTTTCATTATTTAACTATTATTAAAAACGCATCTTTCCAATCTTTTCCTCCCTAATTCATCACTT